GCCTCCTGCCGCTCGGCGAGGCTGGCGGAGTGCGGGTCCCAGCCGCCCAAGAGGAGCGCGGAGGCCGTGCCCGCAGAGCCGCCCTGCACTGTCCCTCTCTTCCTCTAGACGGCGCGGTCACCAGCTCTGCGTCAGAAAGCGCTGCGCTGGCGAGAAAGCGCTTCCCCCTGCAGGGCTTCACTGCCCTGAAAGGGCAGAAAGGTAAAGGCAGGGCCGGCGCTGCGCCTGCCCCGCCCCAGCCTGTCTGTCATCCATTTGTGCCGTGGTCGTTCGTGTGGACATCTCGGGGCCGTCCGCCTCCGCCATTGCCACGGAAGCATTTCCCATTGACTCACCCTTTTCCATTCGCCGCTGTGTCTGTTACACGTGCAGCCAGAGCTCTTTTCTGGGCTGTTTCTTTGGCAAAGTGGAGGCGAGCTCTTCCACCGAAGGCCTGCCCAGAAACTGGAGGAGACTGAAGTTGTCTCTTGCTTTTTCGGTCCAACTCCTCCCCACGCCCTCCCTCTCTGGCTTTTTCCTGCCGGCCCATGGCCGTTACCGTCCCTGCCATAGCGCTAAGTGCCAGCCCCGCCCCTGGCGTTTCAGGCCCGCCGCCCCGACTGCCCCGCCGTGCTCCTGGGCGGCGAGTGTGCAGGGGAGACACGGCGCAGCCGCGCACGAGGCGAGACCTGACGCCCAGGCGACTGTGAGAGGGCTCCCGCGAGTACTGGACGCGCGTCCCGCCTAGGGTCCTTCTCACTGGTCCAAAAACTTGGAGTTTTTTTTTTCCAACTTATAAAATACTTTTAGCCTCAAACTAAAAAAAAAAAAAAAAAAAAGACAAGTGCAGGTGCCACACCCCTGGCCGGGTGTGGAGAGTCACGTGCATGCTCCACGAAGAGCCCGGCAAGCACACCTGAAAGACGCACCCGGGCCAGCGTGAGCCCTGCAGCTCCTCACGCTCTCCTGGGCCCTCCTGCCCCCTCTGGGCCCCTGGCGGCTTCGTTTGCTCCCCAGAAGCTGCTTCTTGCGTCAGTGACAGCGAGCCTGCTCGCCCCGTGTCCATCCCAGCGTGAACTCGGTGTTTTCGCGCCTCGCGGGTGGTCTGCGTGCTCCTCACTCTCCTGTTGTTTCTGCCTCTGCCTCCTCCTGCAGCTTCTCCTCCCAGTCCCGACAAAAAAGCTAAGCGGCACCAAGTAAAGAGCGACCCAACGCCTTTTGGTTCACGAGGTAGAGTGGCCCAGCCCGACGTCCACCTCCCCGTCCGGTTAGGGACACTGTCTTGCTGTCACATGTCATCTGAGATCACAACGAAGTAGGTCTCTCCGAGCCAGGGGCAAATGCTCTTTGCACTGATGCTCTGGTGACCGATGCCATGATGACATCACTCCTCTGACCGGCTCTGCCCAGAGCCTGCAGAACAAGGCTCTGACACCTGGCTGGTGCTTGGCCACGTAGGCTTCAGGGCTCCCCGTCCCTGGCCATCCTGCTTCACCATTTGTCCCGAAGCTTCTGTGGAAACACAGAATGCGGCAGCCGACAGGTCCCATCCCATCTGTCGTTTCCTGAGAGACCCCAGCGGTACAGGCAGATGGGGTCAGGCTCTCCTACTGGACCTCGGGCCTTCACCTCTCTTGCCACTCATGGTCTGAGGGCAATGACCCCCCCCCCCGGCCCAGACTGAGGGTCTGAAAATCACAGAGAGAATTTCACTCTGAACCTTCCTGAGTTCCCCAAACAACATGAAGGTTCCCAAGGGGTACAGGCTGAACCAAATCCCCACACGCACACCTGGAGGCCACCCAGAGGTCACCGTAGCCACCCTGGCCTCAGTCTGCACTCCGGGGACCCAGGCTGCACCCTCTCGCGACCCCAGGTGGGAGAGCTCAGAGGCCGGGGCTGCGACCGCCTCCTCCAGCCCTGCCCTCCACCCTGCGGAGGCCCCCAAGCTGCGGGGAAGGGTCCCTGCCCCTTGGTGGTCTCCTGGGAGGGGCTGGCTTTGGTCATCTGGGCACTGCTCTGCTGACTCCTTGTGTAGGAAGCTGCCCAGGGCCACGCGGCTCAGACACTGCTTCTGACGCCGTTGAGCCCGGTGGCGTCACCTCTGCCTGCTCCTCTCCTCACCTGCGGCGGCCTCGCAGTGAAGAGTGTCAGCCCTGAGCCCGGGCTCGGTGCCAGGCCTCCCCTCCTGCTCCGTCACTCCTGGCCACAGCGGTGACAGGGAGCTACAGGCCTTGCTGGCTGGTGCCAAGTGCTTGCTTCCTGGACAGCCTCTTCAGCACTGACGTTCATGCCTGCTCTACAGGAAACAGACCAAATTCAGGGTCACCGTGGCCTCACGTCCTCTCGCAGCACCCCCAGCACCCGGCGTGATCCAGAGTGCTTGTCGTGCTTCCAAACGTTTCGTTGTCTTGTTCCACGCTCAGTGCCCGGGCGGTGGGTCGCAGCGTTTCCCTTCACTCTGGTGTCGCTCTGCCGATGCAGGGATACTCAGTCCATCCCGGGTGGTTCATTCAGAAGCCCCGGCCGACGGGCGTGACCGCAGGCCCAGACGCTGCTGTGCAGCTGGAAGGCCTGCTCTCCGCAGGTGCCAGAGGGCGGAGCTGTCTGTCTGTGGGTTCAGGTTCGCAGACCCGGCGACCACGCAGCTCTGCCTCTCTGCCCAGGGGACAGCCTTCACCTTTCTGTCCTCACTGTCCTCCTTCAGCCCTACGTTCTTTGTGGCCAGAAGCCCCGTCCATCAGTGTGGGCTGGAGGGGTAGGCGTGTATGGCCAGCTGCCCAGCGTCGGGACTCCTGGTGACCCCCACCAGTGTCCATCTGCACTTCCCATGCTGGCCGCTGCCCATGTGCCCGAAGCAGGAGAGGTGGGTGATTTGTGGCTGGAAGCCTGCAGTCCCTGCTTCCTGCACAGACACCACCCCTCCCTGGGCGCTGGGCCTGGAGCAGGGGCTCGTGGGGGCTTTGGGGGAGCCTGCGGGGCTGCTGGCCTCTGCCGGCCTCTGCTGGCCTCTGCGGTGATGCGGACAGGGGCTCAGGGCTCTGTGGGCTCAGAGGGAACCTGGTCCCAGCTCCCTTTCCTGTGAAGACAGAGACGTCTTCCTGATGCCCCTCCCACACAGGCTTTTCAGAATGGTCGGCCTCGGGAGCTGGCCTGCTGGACATCTGCCCCTTTGCGCCCCGACTGTGCTTGTCTGCTGTGGTTCCCTCACACCCTCAGGGAAAAGCGTGCCTCCAGCCACTCCAAGTGTCACTCATAACTGGGTGTGAGGGTCTGCTGACTCCCGAGTCCACTCGCTCGCCTCTGGTCGAAGTGCCACTTGACCCCAAGTGGTGGCCGGGACCCAGCACCCCAGGCGTGTGTCTCTGGCCTCTTACTTCCTTACTGGCCTCTGCTGTGTTCGCCCAGAATTGGGGGCTCGCCGTCTCCCACCTCCCCATGGTGTGCCTGCAGCCGCCTCTTGGGGATCAGGGCAGTAGACACACTAGTGCAGGGACGTTGCATGTCTCCTGAAGCCTAGACGAAGCCCTTCCCTGGTCCGCTGGCCCAGCAGAGGTGGCTGGCGCTCGTGCAGGCTGCCTCCAGGGCCAGGCACCCTGGGCTGGCCTCCCAGCCTCACCCTGCGGCCCAAGGAAGCTCAGATGTGTGACTGGCATCAGGGCTGTCCCTACCTAGCCCATCGAGGGCCAGGATTGGGCCGGCCAGGAGCCCTCAGCAAGTCCTGTGTCATGTCGTGTAAGGAACTGTCCTCCGGCCCAGCCAGTGGCTGCTGAGCATTGCAGGTGTTGATTGAAAACGCCTTGCTCTCTTGGTTTGCCCAACACAGATGGGTGTTGGAGGCCCTCAGGCCCCCTGGGACCAGCAGACAGGGGCCTGGTGGGAGTTCTCCCCCAGGAAGCAGCAGAGCCCACAGGTCACGCGTACACTGTCCAGAGAGGGCTGGGCTTCGTCTCTGGTGATGGAGGCAGGTGCTCTGGCCTGGCCCCTAGGCAGTTTGCACAGCTGAAGCTGAAGTCTGCAGGTGTCCTGCGAGTCCCTCCACACCACTTCCCCCAGCGGCACGTTGTGGGTGGCAGGGACTTCCATACGCCACCCTCGACCTTGAGGCTCAACCTTCAGGGGGTCCTCACGGAGCCTGTTCCTCGCTAGGCTGGAGCAGAACGTCTCACCCGTCAGAGGCCCCTGAGGACAACAACGGCTGGTCCAGCGCGGAGGAGCCCATTAACTCCTCAGACGCGGAGGAAGAAGGCGGAGTGGGCCTCCGGAAGCTGGTAACCTTGCCTCCCACTGGCCGTCAGTGGCACTGCTGGGCCCAGGGCAGGGGGCAGGGGTGTCCAGAGCTGCACCGTGGGGCCATGGCGCCCAGGGTCGCCGGGAGGGACTTCAGGTGCCGGGCCCCGGTGGCTGTCCCATTAGCACCATCGGACCACCTCACGGCAGGAGCAGAGCACACCTCTGATTGGCCCTTCAGATGAGCTTTCTTAAAGCCGTGTGTGCACCTTGATCTCACTTTTAGGGGAACTGCTCTGTCTGAGGCGTGGATTTGCACTCTCAACCAAGTCCTATTTTAGCACGAGCAGCAGAGAGAAGCTATTTACCTGTTAAGTCACCAGAGTCAGGGTTGTACCAACAGTTACTTGCTGCCCACTGGGTGCAGCCCTGGTTCACACCTGGTATGTCACAGCAAACAAAGCACCCAGAGGTGGAAGGGCAGACACAGGGAAGGGGAGCAACAGTCTCAGGTGGCCATGGTGGCCTTTGCCGAGGAGGACCGGCAGCGAGAAGAGCTGGCCAGGGCACTGGGGTGGGGGGGTTGGTACTCAGCAGGGGAAACCTAGGCTGGCGGGCAGGAAGGCCAGGCAGGCCCTGGTGGGTTTGTGTTCTGCTCTCGGTGTAGTTCGGGGCCAGCTGGGGCCAGTGCAGGGCATCGAGAGAAGGTGCGGCCACTCTGTGAAGCCAATGGACGCTGGCCTGGCTCTCTGGCTCCAGGAGCACCCAGGCATGTGTCCACACTGCACCCCAGCTCCATCCACAACACGTGGGGCACCTGCTGTGTGAGGCACTGAGTGGCCTTTAAGACAGAACAGAAGACAAAGTGAACAAGACTCTTCCCTCACATAAGGCAAAAAACTTGAAAAGGGCAGAACATGCTGGGTGAGGACAGAGGCCAAGGAGGGAGGAGTGATCCAGGAAGAGGGAAGAGTGTGCCAAGGCCCTGGGGCTGTTTGGAGCTTCTGGAGTGCAGGAGCCGCATGTTGTGGGGACACAGGCAGGCTGGTCAGGTTCTTAGTGTGGTCACCACGTGAGACCTGGCACTTCCTGGACTAGGAGACCTTCCCAATGTAAGCTGATAGTCGCACCGAAGCCCCTCAAATGGCAGGGTGCTCGTCGTCGTCCCGTCTGTCTGGACGCTGCGGGGCGGGCTGGCAGGGGCTGTGTGCCAGGCGCTGTGCCGTCCCCTCCCCAGGTCCCCGGGAAGTACACCGTCACGGGGCCGGACGAGAAGGGGGGCCCCGACGCGCTGGCCGTGAGAAGCGGGGACGAAGTGGAGTTGGTGCAGGAGGGCGACGAGGGCCTCTGGTAAGACCACCCCGCAACGCGCGCGGCCCCGCCCCGCAGCTCGCGGACACAGCCTGACCTGCGCCCTTGCAGGTATGTGCGGAACCTGACCTCCGGCGCCGAGGGCTGGGTGC